CCAAGTCCCTTTCCCCTCGACCTCCATGTATCCTAACCCACAATGCCTCAACTCTCTCTTCCTCTGATTCCATTTTGATTAGGGTAGATGTATAATGCTCCTTTACATAGAGAGCAACACTGCCCCCTTTCCTTCCTATTCTGTCCCTTCTGTACAACCTGTAGCCCTCAATGTGTAGCGTCCAGTTATGGGTAGGGTCCCACCAGGTTTCCGTTAGCCCCACTAAATCAAAGTTATTATCTGCAAGCAGAAATGCGAGTTCTTCCTACTTGTTCCCCATGCTCCTAGCCTTAACATAGAGGCAATTGAGCCCTCCAAATGGTGCCTTTGGTGCCCCCCCGTTCTGATGCCCAAAGGGCCCCTTGGTACTTACCTGGGTTGTACCGCTGCATGTCTTGCAGTTTGTAGGTTCTAGACTCTCTCCGTCTCCTGCCTCCCCATCTCCTGTTATACTTAGTTTAAAGTACAAAGTAGTTTAAAGCTGCTGTAGCTTTCTGGGTGGGTACTGCTCAGCTCCCCCTGCCTTCAACGGCTCCTCCTCTACCTCCTGCCCCTGCTTTGTTGCTTTGGGAATCAGCAGTGGCAGCCATGGGGACTACTGAGTGTGCTGGGTACTACATGCCCAGCTGGGTGCAGGGGAAGCTGCTTGGTCCTTCCCCAGTGTGTGGGGCTCCAGCTCTAGTCCCTGTCCATCTTCCACCTACTTTGCCTGCCTGGTGCAATGAGCAGCCATGTACAGGTGGCTGCGTGAGTGGAAGGCAGCTGTAGCAGTACAGCAGGGGAAGGAGGGGGAGGGTCAGGTGGGGCAGCGGAGGGAGCTGAGCAGTAACTAGGTGGCTGCAGCAGCTCTGGCTGGGGTGGTGGTGGTGCTGTTAGGAGCGTGGCATGGGTGGGGCTTGGCCCCATGCAGAGGGCTGCAGGGGAAGCTGTGGCCTGAGTGCACTGGGGAGGAGGGGGAAGGGCTGACTACACCTGCACCACACCTCCTGGTGCAGCTCTGCTGCATGCACCCCCTGCTCTTTCCCACCTTTCTCTTCCACCCCCAGTTAGGTCCTGGGACACACCCATACCCCTTCTGCCCCCACAATATACAAAAGTAAGTCTATTTTGACGTAGTAATTTGAACTGTACTAATGACATATAAGATCACGTGCTACTATTTTGTGTCAGTAACTCAAATTGTTGTTTATTTTAACACTTAGCAGTGACTCCTGGTGCCAACACCCTACAAAAAGTTGATACCTGAATTCATCTCACTGTTGTGCAATTTTTTTTCTTAACTAGTAAAAATGATCTTGGTGATCTTATTTCTTGAGCTGCAGGGCACAGAGTTCATGTGTCTGCATAATGGCACCATTTCTAAGATACCTGTATTGTGAACCAGCCCAGTTGCGGGAACATGCTGAACTACGAATGGGTCTACTTAAAATCTTACTTCAGCCGCGAAGTCCAGAGAACAAAGAGGCACCTTCTGCGCTAGAACAGCATATTCTTCAGTTACTCTGTGACTTGATTCCATATTTTCAGGTAAAAGTTATTTCCTTCCTGGCCCTGTCTTCTGCAAATAAACATTGTCAAAGCAGCTTTGCTGTATCGTGCGTGTGTGTGTGTACAAATGCATTGCTGCTTTTGTATTCTCGCAAATTATATTTGGTCACCAGCGCAGAAATATAGAAGATAAGTGTGCCTTTCTCAGGGAAGGCAATGCTTTTTTGAAGTGATCAAATCTGACTGTATGAGGTGTAATTAGATGTATGTATTGTATTTGCACTACTAACAACACTAGTTACCTTATGAAGCTAGGAGAGCATTATGTGAAAGACAGCGTTGGTGCCCTGCATTATTCACTGTCTGCTGTTACTGCTATTTCTCAACATAAGCTATTTTAGAAAACATGCGACGCTTGAGTTTGGGTGGATTTTTAATGTGAAGTCAGTACCTGATCTAATACAGTAAATGCACTGAAAAATGTTGCTATTTGGTTTACAGGCATGACTCATTGAAACAGGGAAATTGCGTAACTGAATCCTGTTTGTATAGGCTGAGATTTTCAGCTGTGCTTGAAAGTGCCCATCTCTTGTTGAAACTCTTGAGTTGAGGCCAGTAAAGTCAGGTGCTCTTTCAAAATCCCTGTCGTTAAGTAATTTAGGGCAGCAGTGTCCATCAGATAGCCCCTGGGCTCCTGGTCTAAGCAGCGCTCCCTTCTTCACCTTCCAGCCTCTGCCACTGGAGTTTTTGGGTTCCCCCTTCTCCTCCTACTTCCATTGCCTGCCCCTGCAGGTTCTAGGGACAGGGTGGGGCTACATGGTACAGAACAGCCTGGAGCTGAGGGAGGCTATGGATGGGGAGTTGGAGGGAACTTGGGGACCTCTGGTGGTGCAGCACAGTACAGTGCAGTACAGCCCCGGGAGCATGCTTGGTGCAATTCGGGGAGACATGACGTGATGTGGCTTGGTGTAATGCATTAGAGAGGACACCCGCAGTGAGGGGGTCCATATGGCATGTGACTTGCATGGTGTGTGACTGGTAGTCTGTATCTCCTGGCTTATCAGAATTTGGACAGCCCTGATTTAGGACCTAGACAGATGTAACATTTACATTGGTGTAATCTGCATTAAATCATTAAAAGAAAATCTCCCTAAACCAGGGTAAATTTGCCCAATCCTGTAAAGATTTCCCCCTTGAAAGAATCAAGTATATAAAACTAGAGATGTAAGTTATTTAGATTTCAAATATTTGATTGTTTATATCTGATTTGTGTACACCTCTGGGTAGGTGTTTGCTAAAAGCAGATTGTCAGCTGCTCTCCATACCATGCAGGCTAAGTACAGACACTTGGGGAGGTTTAAATCTGATTCAGAATGGCTGCCTGATTTAAACTTAACTCATCCCAGTCCCAACTTTACACTTATAGACCTGGTCTGTAAGTGTAAACCCATAACTGTACAGAAGTTCCATGCACATAAACCTGTCTAAAAATTGCAGAATCTGTTTTAAGATAAACCTGGATCTGTGTAATATCAAACTTATTCAATTTATGTCAAGCCAGTGCATGGAACATTTTCCGTGAGCATCTCTGGGGCTGGGAAGACACAGCCACTGGCCCCAGCCTTGGGGCTGCTTTTTTTTTACTCTTCCCTCCCCCTGCACTGGGCCATCTTTTTTTGTCATCCAGCCCATTGCTCCCTTCCCCACAACCAGTCAGCCCTTTCAATCCACAAGCTGCTCAGGGTGCAGTCATGTTTATTAGCGTTTGTCACTGCTGGAGCTGAGCAAGTCAGTCTTAGTGCGGGGAGGGATGGAGGTATAGGCTCAGTGGGGGAGACCCCACCCGCCCTCCATCCCCCAGCAGGCCCCAAACTCCCCTGCTACCCAACCCCCAATGCTGACTTACCTGATATTGGGAAGCTGTTTCGAGTTGATTTAACCTCCCTCTAAAGCCCCTGAATGTCTGTACTTAGCCCCAGTGACAAGGCACCATACTAGCCATCTTCTGTGGGAGCTAACCTTGGAGAGCTGTATCTGTTGGTTCCTGACTTTGCTGTAAGTTACATAAGAATACAAAACAAAACTATAGAAATTTCACTGGGGTATGTGTGTGTTTCTCCATGACCTCATTGATGGAAAGGGTGTTCCAGTAGTTAAGGTGCAAGTTTGGGACTTGGGAGATAATGTGTTCTCTTCCCTGCTCTGGACTGCCTGCCAATTGGACAGGTCACTGAAGGTTCATCTACACAGCACAGTGCAGTGTCAATTAAGGCAACATCGTGTGAAGTTATCTGAGTTATCTCTGCACATGTCAGGTGTGGAACTAAGACCTGTAGAGGCATGGTGCTGTACTTGGGTTACCCCTTTTTCTTGACAAACCTAGTTAGCCCAGGCAAAGTACCAAATGAATGTGGCTGTACTTGTTTTGGTTCTAGATCTAACGTGCAGAATCGTCTTAGTTATCTCAGTAAGTTGCAGTCTTGTGTCTTTTATAGACCAGCCCTTAGTCTCCCTGTGCCTTGATTTCCCCTCTCTTACTCCCTCCTCCAGTGTTTAAAATGGGGATAATAGAATCTCCTTAACTAATAAGTGCATTTCAAGGATGAATCTGTTAAAGACTGTGGGATGCTAAGATATGATGATAGTGGGGATCATTTGAGAGCGGGAGGCAGATTTTTATAATGTAACAAAAAACGGTGTAAAGATGATCAATATTTTTTTTCCTCAGGACTTTTAGTAGCATAGTGTACTTTTTCTAGTTGTTGACTCTTCATTGTAGTTTGGATACAATAGTTTGTGTTATATAAATGTAACTGAATTCAGAAGATTCTCAGATATGAGCTTTAAGGGGTAAAATATTGTTCTTTTGGCATTCAGATAGTTACAGCTTCTGTTTGTTGCATCCTTGCCTCAGTGTAACTTACCTCTGTTTGCTGAGTGTGTCACTAAGTCCCATGTATCCAATATAGTGGACATAGACATGAAAAGGGAGACTAGAGAATTCGCAATGATATACAGTTCTGACCCTGCTTTCATTCCCTTCTGTCCATACATGGATACGTAAAAAAGCTATAGATGTTTACTATATTTTGCTAGAAATCACTGTTGTTTTCTTATTTGCGCAAAGGTTCGTGGTTTTTTTGTTATGCTTTTTTCACTTGTCCAGATTGTGTTTCTCGGTATTGTAAAAGAAATTTTTGTACCAAGAACTTTCAAGCTTATTACCATACTTTCCTTCCTCCTAACTCCAAACCCAGAACCCTTCTTATCCTTTTTTTTATCTAAGCACTTATTTAGTCCAGTTGCATAAATGCTTTCAGAATCATTTTGGTGTATTATGGTGGCAACCACTGGTGAAAGGTACAGCTGGTTACCCGCAGACTTTTATCTTGATGAATTCAGTGAACACAAGGCTCCTGATTAGAGCAGATGGGTTCATTGTTCTTAATCCCTTGGAATAAATGCCAGCATGGGTGAGATCAGGACCTTAACACCAGCTCCAGAATTTTGATCAGAACATCTGGCTTTGGCTGGAATTGGAGTTTTCAAGGACAGAACATCTCTCGTAATGGGTACATCAGACTATGGAGGCAACCTGCCACCTCACTCTTTTTCTGTGCCGCTTCTAAATGTAGAAACAACACCTTAACCTAGGAAGTTTTTGTTTGTTTGTTTTTTATAGATTAATTGCATTGTGCATGGGGAAAAGTAAGAGAGAGACTTGCTACTTCAGGGATTAAGTTGAAATCTTGGATTAGATTGTTGTCATGTAGAGCCATGCCAACTCTCAGGATCTCAAAATTGTGCTGTTAGACAGGAGGGTGTGACGCAGTTGCGCGCGTACACACCCACATCAGTTAGGCACATACAGATATGTTAGGTGCATACACACACACAACCAACTCAGACACATATACATCCAAGATTACCAATCTAAGCACATGCACACCTGTCACCAACTCAAGCGCATACACACTACACACACCAAAAATTAGACAAAAATCAGTTGTCAATACCTGCACACCCAGTACACGGATTACTAATTCACATACCATGCACACGATGATATATTTGTATATGTATTTGCCAGTTCACACACACCACCCACATACACACAGGTGAGTTCCTAACTTGGGTGGTATGGTGTGTATGTGTGTACTTGGGGTACCTAGGGTGCTTGGTGACTATGGGAGGGGGAATCAAGGGTCAGAGATTTCTGGAAGGAGGGAGATGGACGGGGGTTAAGATGAGGGAAAAATAAGAGAGTGAAAGTGCCAGGAGTGAAAGTTGCCGGGGCTGGGATTAGAACTGGCAGATTGGAGGGGAGCCGGGGTTACTTAAGGTCAAGTTCCCCAGGGTTGCTTGGGGTTACTTAGGGGCAATGTGCCCCAGGGTTACTTGGGGTCACCTGGTGCTGGGGTGAAAGCATGGGGAAAAGCCTGGTGGCAAGGAGCAGACCAGGAAAGAGAGAGGCAGAAAACTGGGAAATGGGGGCTGCAAACTGGGAGGCAGAAAGCTGGGAGATAGCCAGGAAATCAAGGAGGAGGGTTGGGAGGTCAGTAAGACAAAAACTCACCTTGGGGTTTCAAAATAACAGGTTTATTAAGCAGACAACACACTACACAGCCCAACGAAGTTATTGGTTCCTACACACACACAAGCACTTGCATACACATCCACACAATGGTAGCAGAAGAGAAGAAGGCTTGGTGGAAGGATTGCAGTCAAGGTGTGTAGGGAGAGAGTCCAGGTCCTTTGCTTGGGGAAGGAAGGTGGGTGATAGCTACCTATCCTGGGCTGTGAGTTGATCCTCAATGGCCAGTCGGGGTCTTCTCCAGCAAGGTGTTGTCCAGAGGGGGTCACTGGCAGGGCCTCTGGGTGGATAGGTGGTGTGTCATGGTGCTGGTCCAGATGGAAAGGGCATCCCATTAGGTCGGTCTTCACTACCCCTTTTTATAGAGACAGACCTTCTATGACCCTAGTGGCAGGGGCATGCCCAGGCAAGGGTCATTCCTGGTGTACTGAGCATGTGCACTCTA